GAAAACGTAACAGTACAGTACATTTTGAGCTGTAACCGCTGCTGACAAAAACTTCAAAGTTGAGAAAATCGTCGCGGAAAAAACGCAGAGGGGCAAAAAAATGTTTTTAGTGAAATGGCTGGGGTGGCCCGACAAATTTAACAGCTGGGTCCCCGCTAGCCAAGTAGTCGACATATAACTGGGATGGTACGTACCTGTGGCATCCATTCACATCAAAAGCAGCCATGGAGGAGGAAAGCGGTTTTTATGTTACGCTCCCTAGCAATGCGTCTATGGATGTTTTCCTGCACAATACCATATCAAGCTACACGACAAAACTAGCCAAGCCGATTAATCTGACCGGTAAATGGGAAGTAGGATTAACGGAAATCCACTACCTGCGAACGTGGGATACGCTGGTGGAAGAAGACACATTATTTTACGTGGCCGGAGGGGTGTCAATACCACCAATCCTGCAATACAAGCTAAAAGCGGGGCATTACAGAGGTATTGAAAACCTAATCAGTGAAATTAACGATGCTCTAGGAATGTCAAAACTAAAACTTGACTATGGAGCGATAAAAAACAAAGTGTATATGGTTGGTCCACCACACATGGCTTTTAAAGCGAAAGGTAACCTTGCAAGGATGCTGGTGTTTGTTCCTGGTGTATTTCAAAAGATTGGTGATAGACTATCGGCTCCGAATCCAGCAGATATATGCGCCGGATTTTACACAATTTATGTGTATTCAGACATTGTCGAGCACCAAAGAGTGGGTGACAGTTTCGTGCCTCTGTAAAGGGGGGCACATATTACGGGGACTCACAACTCGATGGTCACAATATCTTACGACAGGGTCCATTATGTGTCGCTCTGCAAGAATCACATTGATAATATAGTAATCCAGTTAAAGTCTGACCAGAACAAGGCGATACCCTTCCGTTACGGAAAAACGATCGTGAAGCTGCATTTCAGGCCGGCTAAGCACTACCCCCAATAATAATAATGTACAGCGCCGACGGTTTTTCAGATCCACATAGATATGTGGAATACTACAGAAACCAAGCTGGTAACGGACTCCCCGGATACAACGGAGCACCCGTCATGTACGGAGGCGGTCTGGGGGTTCTTTTTCAAGGGCTCCTCAGAATGGCAGTACCATTTCTGAAAAGGACTTTCAGTATGGCGAAGCCACATCTAAAATCGGCAGCGCAAAATATTGCAAAGGATGTCATTTCCGGTGCGATTACGGGGCAATTAACAACACGACAGCAAGAGGGCTCTGGGCTCATGGTGTTGGCGCGTGGTAAGCGTCAAAGACCCCCCGGGGCTCGAATTACCGTTGCTAAAAAACGCAAGGGGACGACCAAGAGAAGCTCAGTAGTCAAAAAGAAGCGAGAGAAGAAGAAGGCGTCCAAAAAAGTACAGAGAAGGAGATACATTTTCTAAAACTATGGCCCTCCTACACAACCTGTCAGAGGAGTGCATGAAATCAGAATTGGATATTTTTGCAGTGCCATACACACAAGCAAGCATCGATAAAAATATATACGTGGAAGTGCCGCCACTCTCAGCTTTAACAGATAATGGACCCCTGGAGTTTTTCATTGCCGGTAATGGGGAAGATTACCTAGACCTCAACAACACGCTACAGCACCTACGGTGCGAAAGCTAATGGGGCAAACATGGACCCTGCCGCGAAGGTGGGGGTCATAAATTACCCTATCGCATCAATTTTCTCACAGGTGGACATATCCTTGGGTGACAGGCTAGTAAGCCAGTCTAGCAATACGTACCCTTACAGAGCCATGATAGAGTGCCTGCTTAATTACAGCGTCGGAACGCTATCCAGGCAGTTTTTCTGCGGGCTGTTTTATAAAGACAGTTCCAGTGCTATGGATGAGACCGACCCTGATGGCAATAACAAGGGCTTAGAGAAAAGTGCAGCATTTTCAGCAAGAAGCGGTGTTTTCGAATTGATTGGCCCCATACACTCTGACATATTTTTTCAAGAGAGTTTAATGCTAAATGGGGTCGATGCCAAAATTAAAATGGTTCGAAACAAAGATGAGTTTTGCCTCATGAGCGGAGATGCTGAACAGTACTCGCTCAAAATCATATCGGCTTCCCTGTTTGTTAAAATAGTTTCTGTGTCGACGGCTGTCAAACTGGGGTATGCCAGCGCCTTGCTGACAGCCAATGCGAAATACCCGATCGAGAGAGTCTGCATGAAAACATTCAGCGTTGCTGCAGGCAGCCGGGTCTGCGCACAAGAAAATCTGTTTCTAGGCCAGTTGCCTAAAACCGTTGTCATTGGACTTGTAGATAACATGGGATTTATGGGAGCGTACGATCGAAACCCTTTCAATTTTCAACATTATGATGCTGAATTTGTATCGCTTTATGTCGACGGTCAGCAATTCCCTGCAAAACCGTTTCAGCCTGATTTTAACAGGGGAAATATTGCCCGTGAGTATTACAGCTTGGTTCTGGCCACGGGGAGACATTTGAAAAACGATCCTGTCGCTGTTGACAGAAACGAGTACATAAGCGGCTATACTTTGTACGCCTTTAACTTGTCACCGGACGAAGGATGCAATCAGCATCTCCCTATGGTTAAAAGCGGAAACATGCGCCTGGAGATGAGATTCCGTCAACCTCTGACCAGGACTGTCACACTGATAGTTTATGCGACCTTCGACAATATAATGGAGATTAACCAAAGGAGAAACATTTTGTACGATTACTACTAGTCATGAATACCCTGGAGCTATCGAATATCCTTAGTAGAAACCGATGGACCGCGAGACATTTTTATGGGGTATTAGCTTGTGATGAGCTGGAGGAAGTAAAGCTTGATAAATTACCCGCAATCTTCATTGTCAATACACATCCTAGTTCTGCCCCCGGAGAACACTGGCTGGCGCTTTTTATCAACCATGACAGCTCCGCAGAGTTTTTCGACTCGTACGGAAATCCACCTGATCACCCCAGCTTTCCGAAAATCATAAAGACATTCATGACGAGGAACTGTGACCAGCTTGTTTACAACGCAAGGCAGGTTCAAGACGATCTCAGCGTGACGTGAGGCCAACATTGCATTTTTTATTTAATTAATCGCTGTAGAGGCTTTCCTTTTTCTAAAATTCTATCGTTTTATAGCAATGATTTTAAAAAGAACAATACCATGGTTTCTCATTTTGTTTCTAAATTTAAATATACCAATCGTGTGAAAAATGTGTTTATCAAAATGCAAACGGTGAGATATTGTAAGGCTTTGAAAAAGACTGTATGTTAAATAAAAACCACAAAGACAAAATATCACGTTTTAGTGTTTTATTAAGTAA